TGGGCTCTGTAGCCTGTACTGGGCCCTGAGCCTAATGGGACTGTCTGACATGAATCCTTGACCAAATTGAGAAGGTCAATAACATTTTTGAGAGCACTCACCTCCACTTCGGAGGCCATTCTCCTACTTCCAGGGTCCCCCAGGTGTTGTTGACATCACTCTGTGGCCCCTCTGTCCAGTGTTCTTACCTTTACTCATTCTTTCTCAAATTGTCACCTTGGGAAGCATTTGCCAAACCACCAGAAATGCTGAGCTATTGGCTGGATAACCCTCCTCCCTGACCACCTCAGGGCATTTACATTTAATAGCGAATACTGCCTTTCAACTAAGGGAGAGTACTTTTCCAACTCCAAGATTCCAGATGCCTGGAATAGAAATGGCAGTTGTGGATATTTTTTTTTCTCTGTGGAGGAATTGAGAAGAGGGCTTATCAGAAGAAATCTTCAAATGTCATGCCGTCTTAATAAAATGATAGACAACATCTGAGAGCCAAGTGATGTATTTATTTAACTGAATCTTTACTTCTGCCTCTTAGGTGGGTAATGTTAAGGTTCGTATTTTATGGGAAGCAAACTAAGTCTTGTGGAGTCTAAATCACTTGCCCTGGATAACACAGTCAGAGTTGGAATTGGGTTTGAACTTACGTGGTCGCACTCCAAAATCTGTGTTCCCAAATCACCATGTAAATTTTAGTAGCGGTAATGGTAGTGATGCTAATTATAGCAGTGAATATTGATGGAGGGCTTATGTACCAGGCATTGTGGCAATCCCTTCATGTGTGTTATTCTATTTCATCCTCAGAATTATCCCATGTGGTAGGTAGTTTTAATATATCTCCTTTGTATATGCAAGGAAAATGGAGCACAGAGAGGCAAAGTTTCCATTCATTCGAGGTTATCTCATTTAAGGGTGTATTCTAGGTTACATAGCTAGCCAGTTGCAGAGTTGTGGATTCAGACCCAAGCCAACTGACTCTAGAGTCTGTGCTCTTCCTTGCCTTCCTTGATGACTCTGTCTTTATCTCCACTGAGACAGAGGTAGCCCTGCCATCCCAGTGGCCATTATGACATGTAGGCCTTCAGACAGTGTTTTAGAAACTGGTCCACTCATAATTTACCACAGAACTCCTTTACCCGATGAAGACACAGTTAGCGCCCACAGGAGGCAGCAAGAGGACAGAGTGGAGTTCTAGTCTTACCCATCAATTCTCAGTACCATCCAACCGGTCATCTCTGTGTTCTCATATGTAATTACATATATTCCAAGTGGAGCCAAATCTCTCTGTAGTTTCTTGTCCTCTGCTATATGTAAAACAGTGATCTGAAAGTCAACCAAATGCTGTCTTTCAAAAGGCCCTCTGAATAGACACAACATTAGACAGTGCTAAAGAAAGAAAGTTTAGATGTTTTAAGCAGAGAGAGGCAGAGAACAAGACAAAGAGAGAGCCAGGGATAGAGAGAGAGAGTGAGAGAGAGAGAGAGAGAGATTGGTGGCAGAGTGGGGGATTCTACTTTGAAAGTCAGCTGGAATATAGATGCCGGGTGTCTATATCCCAAGGGACCAAGAAGCCACCCAGAAGAACCATTGACTGAGGGAAGAAGGAACCAGGCAAGATGCTCGTCAGTAACAAATTTTGGTCACCAGTTGGGAAGATGAGATGACCATTCTAAGTATGGCCTGGTATATTTAGAAGGCTGTAAGTAAAAATTTAAAGAACAGTCCGCATAGTCTGCAACACTGTAGCATAAACAACACTGCTTGATTAGTCACACATAGAGACAAAGAGGGCATTCTTCCTCATTTCTCCACTTCCTGGGCATTTAGCATTCCTGAGTTCATTGTGTTCCCCTGACCAAAGTAGTCAGTTCATGGATGACCGCACAATCCAACTGGAACCAGTACTTGGTCTTTTTGTGAAAGCAACCAATAGGAAGGAGAGCTTATTACCTCAGCGATTTAGATCTGGGAAGAGATCGCCTCTTGCTGCTGGTGGCCATCTTTCCATCACGGGGCGTCTGCAAATGAAGCCATCGTGAAGGATGGCAGAGCTGAGACAGACATCATTTGGGCCTTTGGATTAATATCCCTTCCTGCTTACCCCAGTCTGATTTGGATTTTCTGACCTTTGCCACCCAAAGTTTTCACAGTGGGGTTGATAGTGATGGACTGGGCCATTTTTTAGGCTAGATTTGTCAGGGAAGACCTCTTTAAGCGTCTGGAAGTCTATGGATCAAGGTGCTGATAGTATACCATTTCGCAAAGAGGGGGTTCAGGGTGAATATGTTTTTAAAGAAACAATTATTTCTTTGTTAATAGGAAAATATTATATATACAATTCCAGCTTTTCCTAAAATTGTGAGACAGTCAACTGATCACACTGCTTCTTTGTCTCCAGCCACTCGGTATTTGAGGTGTAGCATTTGCTGCTCTAAACTCCCAGGGATAATTTGTGAGAGAACTCACAGATGTGCTTTTGCACTTATGCACACCTCATTTGTCTTCCTCCTATGAGGTGAGGTTTCGCATCTCTTCTAACCCGACGTGTTTCCAAATTCTCTAATCTTGTGGGGTCAATTGCAGAATTACTTGTCAAATAAAATAATGAATTTATTGTGGTATCTGCAAAGTGGGAGGTGATGGGGACTAATAGCTTCCAGAGGCAAGATGGTGTCCTCCAGAGACAGGAGTGAGGAGAATCTGAGTGTGTGACCAGATTTGTTTTCTTGGCATATTTACCTCCTGCTCTCAAACACACTCACACCATTCATGGGGGAGGTAAATTGGGAAGCTTTTATTTGAATGAAAGCCCCTCAGGTAGACTGGAGGCTCCACTTACACCCAAGGTCCTCTTTGTCTGCTATCTGGCTGCTGTACATTTGGGGAGGAGCAAGTATTGCATTTTGAGAAGGAGAGAAGGAGGGGGGGAAACATGGGGCCCTTAAAATGACTGAATTTACTAGCTACTCTGAATTGGCTTCCTGTATTTCATCTTGGGAAAAAAAAATTCAGAGCAAGTGACAAAAAGCTACTTCTGGCTTTTTGAATACCCTCAGGGGGGAAGGCTTCTAACCTTTCAGAAACTCTTTCAAATTGAAGCTTAAAGAGAATGTGTATGTGCTCTTGTATGCTTTCCACACAAACTCTGCTTTTAATGTTAGTTGCATGTGGATTAAGGTCTCCTGAAGGTGTATCTTTGTATTTATTGTGGGTCAGAAAGTGAATAATGGTGGCTATTGAAATCAAACTGTCCACTGTATAGCATTGTGCCTGGTGTTAACAATATTGTATTGTGTACTTAAGCATTTACTAAGAGGGTTGGGCTCTTATCAGAAAAAAATAACAATAATAAATAAGAGGGTGGGAGGAAAGTTTGGGAGATGGTGGATAGGGTTTATGGAATAGATGATGGTCATGGTTTCATGGATGTATCCTTATTTCTCAAATCATCAAGTTGTATTCATTAATTATGTATAGTTTTTTGTATGTCAAAAAAATCAAACAGGCCTATTCTACTCAAAATGAAATTCTTATTTTTTTAATTCTAAAAATAGTTATGGTTGCTTCAGATCTGCTGATCAACGTGTACTCCTAGCAGCAGAAATTGGAAAAATGTGGTGTGTTTCTCTGAACAGATATAAATGCATCTTTTCTCTTGCGTTCCTCTTATATGGGCCATTCATGCAATACTGAGTAGTCACATTCTATTAAATAATGCATATTAATATTTTGGTTCTAAGATTTTGGTAACTTCATGTCTTTTTATTCTTATTGTAAATTTTTAGACATATCTAAAAACATAAAATCATTAGAGATAAAAGTACAGAGAATAGTGTAATGAACTACCATATACAGAAATGAGATTTAATACATTATTTGATCCATTTTTTGATTTGAAAATTCATTACAGACCTATAACCTATCACATTCCAACCCTCAATGTTTACTTCCATTTGAATCTCTAAAATAATTCTTCTTCCATAATAACGCTATTGCCATCACACCTATAAAAATGAACAATTCTAACAAACCTAAGTGATAAAAGTTTAACTTTATGTAACAGTAAAATATTTTACATGTTAAGTTTTTATGTTTATACCCAGAATCATCTAGAAATGCGTATCACTATCAGACAATAGTTTTGCTTTTGATATTTGGTAAGACCTCGATACTATATTATGGCCTAAACATTTCTTGTGTTTCATCTTAGAAGTTTCATTGAAAAGCTCTTTGAATGAATCTGAATCAGATTTTTTTCTCTCACATTCTTTAACATAATGTTTTCTTGTTCAAAATACATGTGCTTTTGGCACCGTGAATAATCATTTATTCCTTTATGATTTTTTTTTTTTTTTGGTAGGAATTGATGGCTTACTTTGGGAACAGCTGAATCCTCTCTCAAGCTATAGTCTCGAAGCACATGAGAACAGATGACATATTAAACTGTTTCCATTCTGTGAGGTTTAAGTCACTAATGTGTTAGATGGTCAAGTGTAAGAATTACAATGTTAGACTTTCATAGGTCTCTCTAAGGACCTTGTTAGAAGCCATTTGTTTTCACAGTGTTTGTAGATGCTTTACAAGGACAACTAACAGGTGACCAATACAGAAGGTCATCTTGGACACTGGGAAAGAGCTCTAGAATCCACATAGAAGACGTGCTGAGCTCTGGACTGCATCTTACTGTATGAACTTGGCCAACCAATTGACTTCTCTGAGCCTCAGTTTCTCAATTTGTTAAATGGAGCAAATCACAAAGTTATGGGGATTACATAAAACATAAAAATTATTCTGCAAGTATAATACTCTTTATTGACATAAGGTGATAGGGGGTGTGCTATGGGCTGACTTATGTCCTCTCAAAATTCATATGTTGAAGCCCTCACGCCCAACGTGACTGTATTTGGAGATAGGGTTTTTAGGAAGTAATTAAGGGCAAAATAAGGTCATAAAGTGGGGTCATAATCTGATAGGTTTGGTGACCTTATCTCTTTTTCTGTCAGAAACACTGAGGGAAGGCAAGTGAAGCCACAGCGAGATGGCAGTCACCTGCAAGCCAGGAAGAGTACTCTCATCAAAACCCAACCCTGCTGATGTCCTGATCTCAGACCTCCAGCTTCCAGAACTGGGAGAAAACAGATTTCTGGTGTTTAAGACACAAAGTCTAAGGTATTTTGTTACAGTAGCCTGAGCTGACTATACAGGATGTGAGGGAAGAATGCATCCTATGGATGGTAGGCTCTCTCTCTTTCAACTAAAAGAAGATCAGGAGAATGGTTTTATGTTTTAGAAGGAGGAAAGTAGATTAGACATCATGTAGCATGTAGAGGAAGAACACTGGTCAAGAATGATGAGCTTCCAATTGAGCTTCTAATCTTGCCTCAGTCAAGACATGTGAGGGCACGCAATTAAAGTTGAAAGCCTTTGGGATCTCAGTTTCCTAATTTCTAAAATAAAGAGATTTTAACAAAATGTCTTTCAACATCTTTCTTTTTTCTCTTAGAGGCTTGTTTGAGCTCCATGATCTTTTTTGCCTTCCCCTGATGAAATAATGAAACCCTTGAGAGCTATTTGGAAAGACTGTGGAGGTGTGTACCTTCTAAATTATGCCGAAGCTCCCCTGCATTGTATCATACATGCTACATACCTGGAAGTAAACCTGCTAATTTCTTTCTTGTGTTCTTTCCAGCCATCAGGGTTTCCGATACCTGGTCTTTGTTGTGAATAATAGATATAGTTTATAGATAGACATGATGGATTTATAAATTCAAAAGACAGAAGTTATCATGAGACTAATGATCCAAGTAAAAGTATATGCAAAGAAAGAATCATGGAACACTCTATCAAAAACTAATGATGTACTGTATGGTGACTAACATAATAAAATAAAATTTTGAAAAAAGTATGCTAAATCTTATTTAACACTTTGTTTTGCTTATTTTGAGCCAAGCCTTGCCACAGTGATTGTGAACACACACACACACACACACACACACACACTGTCGTGGGTTGAGTGGTGGCCTCTCAAAAGATCTCTCCACCTGAAACCTGTGAATGTGACCTTATTTAGGAAAATAGCCTTTGCAGATGTAATTAATTAAGTATCTTGAGATGATAGTACCATAGATCACTCAGGTGGGCCCTACCTCCAATGACAAGTGTCTTATAAGATACAAAATAGGAGAAGACACAAAAGGACAGAAAGCCATGTAACTGAACAGAAGGATAGAGGCAGAGACTGGAAGGATGTGGTCATAAGCTAAATAACACCTGGGGCCACCAGAAGCCATCAGAGGGAGCATGGTCTTGCCGACGCCTTGATTTCATACTTCTGGTCTCCAGAGCTATGAGAGAATAAATTTCTCTTGTTTTAAGCAACTTAGTTTGTGGTAATTTGTGGTGGCGGCCCTAGGAAACCCATACACATTCTCTTTATTACCCCTAACTTTCATTATATACCATTTCCCAGTGGATACATTAACTAGATTTGAACAATTTTTTAAAAAGATTTTATTGTTTGAGAGAGAGAGCACGAGCAGAGCAGAGGGTGAAGGAGAGGGAGAAGCAGACTCCCCACTGAGCAGGGAGCCCAATGCGGGACCACATCCCAGGACCCTGAGCTGAAGGCAGATGCTTAACTGACTGAGCCACCCAGGTGCCCCTAGATTTAAACAATTTTGCATCTTACAAAGGCAAGTGTATTTCTAGAGTTAAATACCTAAGCTATGGATGATTCTGGGATTGAAGGGTGAAGAGTTATCAGCACTGTGCTTTTGGTTGATTATTGAGAGGAGCCTCCTAGGTAATCAGAGTTAACTTGGTTTTGAAAGTTGGAAGGGGACATAAGATTTGAGTGAGGGAACGGCTTTTAGTGTGAACAGAATTTTTCAGTCTCTTCACTATTGAGACACAAATAGGGGGGCTGTCCTGTGCTTTGTAGGATGTTCAGCAGCATTTCTGGCTTCACTCACTGGATGCCAGTGGTACCCCCCCCCCACTTCAGCAATTGTGACAACCAAAAATGTCTCTACACATTGCCAAGTGTCCGCTGGGGGAAAAAAATCATCCCTGTGGGACAACTACTAGCTTAGGAGATGACAAAATACAGGCTCTGTGATAAGAATGAAAAAAGTACCTGTGGAAAATACTCAAAAGAATATCAAAATCCACAGGATTTTCTGAGGAAAGCCATTTTCCTAGCAATAATAAATGACTCTCTTTAACCCAAAATAAAAGCAGATCTATATGAGAAAAGACCTGTCATATCTAAGATTATTACCTTCCCTGATCACTTTTAATGTCAAAGAGGATCATCCTGTGACAGAAGAGAATTTTCTCATGGTGCAAAATGATACATATGTACAAATATGTGTATGTATACACATATACGTTCCTATGTTTATACGTATCTGTGTATACAGATAGAGGTCTATGCCTATATACACATGTGTATGCATGCATGTGTATATTAAATGCTTATTAACAGAGGGCTACAAGAGTTTAATATACTGCATTGTCTTGCTTGGGAGTTCTGAAGTTTCAGAGCATAATTAATCATTTCTAATGATGATGAAGTAGATTAAAAGCCTTTGAGAAAGCTCTGTTGGAAAGGGCTACAAGTCACCCTGGTGTAAGTGGACTAAATTGGAACAATAGTGTTGCAAATTTTTCTCGCAAATCTAAGATTCACCCAGCTAATACGAAAACAGAATTCTGTTATTTTGTTCCCTACAAAGTGCTTATTACCTATTTGGAACTTTGTGACCTTGACCATGCACTTCTGTGCGTCACACAGCGGAGAGTCCTCTATTTACTTCCACACAGTCACCTGATGTGCTTTAGAAGTCATGTATAATTACAGTGAATGGAGCTTTCTAAAGATACACTTGTGGTAAGCTTGGCTTCTTCTACTTCTAGAAAAATGTTCACATGCAGGAAAAAAGTTTCCTTTGACAATATCTAAGGTCTTCTTTAGATCAGAGAAATATTTGTCTTTACCTTTAAAATATACATTTCACAGGATGCAGACAGAGTGAAACTTGCTAAGGGCCATTTCCCGGCTTGGGAAATGGACTGAACTGGCTGATCTAACAGTTCACTGAGATCCCATTAGAATGACACCACTTCCCAGAGACAACAGGAATCATGAGGTGAGGTCTGGAAACAAATCAAGGATTTTTGTGGAGAAATGCCTGTGGTCCCACCAAGCAAGAAAAATTGTAGGGAGTATCTTTTGAAACTTATTTTTAAAATTGAGGATCATAAATCACAAGTGTTTCCAAGATAGTCTACAGATGTAATGAATACTCTAGATTTTAATTAACAAAAAGGTGATGAGTGTAGAGGTGTAGAAGGACATCAGGTCGACAAGAACATAAAAGGTTTTCTTGCACAGGGTTATTTCCCTTTTGAGAGAAAAAGATATTTTCTCAGTTAGAGAATTCTTTTTCTGCTAATAGCACCGTTCCCATTTTTGGTATTATTAGCAGCTTGCTTGGGGTGGGGGCAGGGCGGTCACCTGAGACCCGTAGTCCCACCTCTCACATACGTGTAATTTGAGAAATACCTCTGTTGCCTGAAACAATTCTTTTGAGGCCCAGTTCTGGCTACAGAACGCAGTCACACGCTTTTGAGGGAACCGGCACCTGCTCTTGGCCTTCAGCCTGAGGCAACATGGCGCAGCCCCTTGGGTGCTAGTGTGGCCGCTGCAGTGCGGATGTTGGTGGCGTGGGCCTGGTTTTTCCACAGTTAAGCGGGACCAAGATCTCATTCCTTACGGATACTTTTGCTTGTACAAGTGCTGGGTTTTGCCCACACGAGCAGCTCCCAAACCCAAAAACGTAAGTGTCATTTGTGGTTCCTGTGATGGAACCTGATGGAAAACTTGACCGTAAGTTCGAAAAAGTCATGTGAAGAAAAAAAAAAAAAAAGGCCTCTGGCACAGAAATCAGGAAATTCTTCAAAAAATATATTGTGCAACCAACATTTGCTTCCCTAACTTTCCCAGCAGCCTGCCACGGTACCTTCGGGGGTGTGTGACTGACAACACCAACCACCACCACCGCTCTCTGACCTGAATCCCCATCGAGCAATCACTGGCCTCTCAGGCCCTCCTTGCCAGGGTCTGGGGGAATCCACCCCCCTCTCTGCCCACCTTGGATACTCTCCTGAGGCAGCCTGAGGTCTCTCTCTGCCTTGGCAGCTCATGTCACTGGCCCCTTCCTCACCTGAGCTCCAGGTTAGGGCAGGACCCCTCTTTCACCACGGCAATATAAGTTCTCACACCTTCTGAAGCAGGATGGCCTTGCTCCTTCCCAATGGAAGCACCGTGAAGCCTCTCAAAACTCTCCTGCTGCCCCCAAGTTAGACGGTACTGAGAGTAACAGTAAAATTGTTTCTGATATAATTACTGTTTCTCCTATCTTATATAAGACTGCTATGCTATTTATGATGAGAGATACTGTTCTTCTTAACATTCTTGAAATTGTACATGGACTCACCTTTAGAAAACGTAGCTGTTTTTGTCAAAGTAAAAAGCCTAAAGCAAAAGTGGGTCTGTTGACTCCAACCAGGAGGCTTTTCTGGAAAATCTGGAGCATGTTTCTTTCAAGGTGGTTGGTGTTCAGTTTCTGTTTTCAACTTCTTGTAAGCCACTCTTTAGGGCAAGTTGTGACTGATTTCTTGGGAAGTAGGTCACTGGACCATAAGAGTGCCTCTCACCACCTCCTCTTTCATTTAATCATAAGTCTGGAATTTAAACCCAGGTCTCTCACCCCAGAGTCTGTGCTGCATTTGCTTCCAAAGTCACCTTCTACCGAACTTGCATATGTCACTGCTCTCCACTTTGGGAATAAGATCGAGCTGCTTTCCACTTCCCTTTCCTTCTTGTCTTCCACATTTTGAAATAGAAAGCTCATCCATAAGAGATTCCAGGGGGCTGTAGGGGGTGTAGGATGAAGCTGGTGGAGCTTGGCCTCTGGAGACCAACTCACTGCTTTAAAAATCTCTACCTTCCACTCTAATTACTTCCCACTCTAAACATCCACTTAATCTCTAGGTGTTAGAGGGAGGAGGATTATGTTACCCTGTTGTTGTGGGGGCTAGCATAGTTTATACATATAGTTTTGTTGTCAAGACTGATAAAGGGCTTTACAGAGTCAGTGGGGTGGGAAGAGAAGGAGCAAGGCAGGAAGTGTGCCTCTCTTCCACCCCAGTACATCTCTCCCTCTACATTTTGGTCTTCCTTGAGCTGGAAGGTCTTCCTACACCTGTTGTCAGTGACACAGTAACCACCATAGAGCAGATTCGCCAGATGCAACCAGTTCATTATTTACATATCGAGTCCACAAATGCTATGAGACAGTGAATTGGAACTGCCTCCATCATCTTCCTTCTTTCTAGAGATAAATGATTCTCAAAATGGAAACTTGGGGAATAAAAAAAATCATTTAATTACTTTATAATCACCTCTCTTTTCCTTTTCTCATATTTCATATAAGGTCTGCATGGAAATTCATGCTTTAAATATTCCTTTAAAATGTTCCTTGAAGCTTTAAAATACTCCTAAAATCCCAACAAGAATTTTTGTCCACTTGTCTTTTTTTCCATCTATTCCCGTTACAGAACATGGTTCTGTGGGGTTGGGAGCTCTAACGGTAAACTCTTTAGTTTTGTCTATCTACAGCTATTTTTAAATAAAATTTTGTTTTTTTCTGGATGTGATAATAAGAAAGGTAGAAATACTGGAAAGATTTAGGTTCTTAATTAGTTGATTTTTCTGAAACATTGGATGAATTTTTGAGCAGTAATCATAAAAGTTAGTAGAAATTTCTGAGTAGTGCATGGCCCAGCATGCCACCTCACCTCTACCTGGTCTCACTGGGGAATGCC